TTGAAGTGGACACCTGTGGAAAGGGTTCGATGGGGAGGCAGTGTCGAGGGGATGATTCTCTATCCCGTATCTGACAACTGGATATTTCGTTTATTGAACGTGAATGTTGCAGTTATGTAGTATTATGTTGAGACTTGTCTTTCTTTCAACAATGTGCTGCGAAGGGGTTGCACTGAGCACATGTTACAGATATTGTTGCGTGAACAGCGCGGATTCGGGCACCCGACACTATTCTGACCCAGTCACGATTTAACGAGCTCTGAGCCTGGTTTTAAGTGATAATTGTGATGTGACGATTCGATTGAAGGTTCGGTGTTCGAGATATTAGTCGATTCGTTCGTGGTTTCGGTCTTTATTATTCGAGATACAAATGAGTTCGTTCGTGATTTAGATGTGATATTTGAGACGTTCACTGATTACTGTTCGCGACTTAGACGCGTGTTGATTGTGATAGTATCGTGTTCCTTTTCGTGTTTTAGCTACGTGTTGTTCGTTGTATTACTGAGTTCTTTTCGTGATTTCGATATGTGATGTTTGAGATATATTCGTGTTCTTTCGTCTTTCGCCAAAGTGGCTGTCGATGTTACCTCGGAATCGGTAATTAGGAAGGGGATGTGTACGTTCATTGGTAGCTGATTTTTGAGAGGTGACCGCCCTCGTAAGAAATGGTCACCTCCCTCGCACAAGAAATGGTCACCCCTGGAAGTAGCCGCGACCAAGGGGTGACGCACGAGGGATTCCGTGATTTGGGAAAAACCCGTAGCAGGTAATAAGGTGAAAAAGCACTCTGACCCTGACAACGATGATTGAAAATAACGGAATAGGAAATTAAACATGCTGGTCCCAAGCAGTAAACTTGGGTACCGACGCGAAGGTATTTTTTGCTAACGAAAAATGGTCAATGGTCTAATAAACTTATTGCCTGTACGGTCAGTCCGGGATCCTCGGTCTATTGCCTGGTAAAAATACAAAAGATAGCTGCATCGCATTCTTAGGCGATGCAACAGATATATAGTGTATTTAGAGAGGAATCGAAATTCGTTACAAAAATGTGATGTTTCGTTTAAGGAGATTTTGTGACGTGAAAAAATTATGTGACGTGATTGTGTGATGATCTGAGTGGGAATGTAATGTGTGAAGAAGAAAAATATCGAATGCTTTGGTTGTTGTGATATAGGTATCGTTGTATGTACAAAATTATTAAATACTGGGTGGACAGAGTAAAGGAGGTCCTCGATATCACGTGACCCTTCTATGGCGCTCAATTCAAATATGATATACAATATGACTTTTTAATATTTAAAATGTATAATAAAAACATTGTACATCTAACTGTAAAAAATTAGTGATTCATATGAAATACCACATTAATAAGTGCGATGATATGTAACATTATGTTTGAATGAGTTCGATGATATGTAGCATTATGTTTGAATGTAATAAATACGATTATATCGTATGGAGCAGTAGTAACTTCATCAAAAGAAATTACAAGGAATATCATATTGTAACAGATCACATTTATCATATAAAAATGGTCAATAGCTTAGTTGCAATATGTATCATCGTCTGTATCTGTAAGCGTACCTATCTTTAATGCATGGTTTCTTTAATGCGTGGTTATTGTAACTATTACATGTGAACTATGAATCAATATTACTTTGGGTTTGCTGCAACAGAGTGAAGTACGATCCCGCTGTTGTTATCACCTGCAACAGGAAAATTATGAAATTCATTTGAAATTCCCAAGTCATCAAATTTCTGAATTTTCAAAATCTACTGTTATCTAAATACATTTTTCAGAGTAGATTTATGAAGTACATAAATTAACTTTAATGGCCGCCTACGTAAACGTAGCCAGGGTCCGCAATATTTTTGAAGAATTAATTTAAAAAAACTTTATGTAAATTCACAAACTAATTCCACGTGTGAACAAACACCTAAAACAAACGAAAACAAAAACAACATAATATAACAAATTTAATACTTTTCCTTTGTGTGATAATTGCAACATCTACGTCTCATGTGTGAGCGGCCATTAAAGTGTTAATATATGTAACATACTGCATTTAATCTGCTCTGCAGAAACTATTTCGCTCACCCTAGTACTCGTTTCTAAAGAAACTATGAAGAATCCGAGGCCCGAAATATAACAAGGTTTATTAGATCTCATGATGAGCATTATAAAATCTTTCTTTAGGTTGTCTATGCCTTTAGACGAAGGTAATAGTAGCCACGGCCCGGAGAACGCCGCTGTGGCTAAGTTTACACTTTCACGTATGATACAGTCACAGCTGTACGAAAACATGATTAATTGACATACGGTCGTCAGGAGATGGAAAAAGAAAATTACTTTCCTCTGGATCAGATCTAACTATGAAACAGCTGAATAAATTTATTGCCATTAGGTTCACAACGATAAAATAAGAACTGACTATTCGGTGTAATATAAAAATAAAAGAAAATTCCAAGATAAAGTATGATGTACTTCATATATTAATACTAATAATACTATAGCCAAAATTTTTGCTTCGTAAAAAGAATTCGAGGCATAAACCTTGAAATGTTCATAACAAAATTTGAAAATCATCTCGAAATAATTTACAAAAAAGTGGAGACGTGATCAAACATTTCGTAAAAAATTGCAGAGTATGAAACTTGAAATATTTTCTATAAAAATTTCAAATACGATCAATCAAATATTTGGTGCATTTGAAATATAAATCTTGAAATACTTTGTACAACAATTTAAAATGTGAAATACTTCGTATGTAAGTGCAATATCGTAGAAATTTTAGATGCATACTAACCAGTAACACCTGAAATCCATCCAGACAAATGAGCATACTGAACGTCATCACTTGTACGAGTACAATGCGAGTACAATAATGCCGAATACTTCTTGTAATTCATTACAGTACGTAATGAGTGCCTGATGCTGTCGAATGTAGCTTTTAAACACGTCAGGAGCATTATCTTTTAGGTACAAGTCTGATTTCTGATCGAGTCCGTTCTGAACCTGTCCACTGTATTTGTCTGACAATCTGTATTGCAGTATTCGAAATTGTCCAGCGATATGAAGGTTTATTATGCAGAGGACATTGTCCAAGGAAAAATAGGAGAATCCAACGGGACACAAGGCTAGTACCTGTAAAAATATGGCTGTTGTAAAATAAGATATGTCCAAAAAGTTTCATGTCTACTAAAAATTTTGAATATTATTTTATAATAGTTATATTGATAGTGAATATCACGAGACACTGAACATAAGTACCTGTGTGATATAAGCGATTTCAAAATATGGCGTCGCCTGTATTGGCACATTAAGATACATTTTGAAGGGTAGCACCCTTTCGGATTCGTTCATGAACAAATTCACTGGAATAAATAATGTTTAAAGTAAATAAATAATGTCTAAGAATTAAAAACGAAGATATTACTTTTTATACCCGAAAGTGTTGCAGATTACGTACCAAGAAGTGGAGCGCAGACGTAAGACACAATCGTCAATTCGGTAAAGCAGACAGAGCTACAAACGAAGAAACTGCATTTGCGTTTGCACGTGGTCAGTATCGACGTTTCAAAGTCGTCGTAATCAGCCTTCAAAAAGTTTCGCACCATGTATGCTATCAGGCCGAAAAGTTTCTTTTTGCGTGGGAGCAGAGCCAATAGTTTAATCAACGGCACCAGTACCGATAAAAGGTTCAACAATCCAAAAATAAGGTTCTGCGAACAGAAGAAATTAAACTTATTAAACAAGACTATTTGCCAAATTGAACAAATTATCGAAAGCTTCATTTTAGGCACTGACCTCAACATCGTCTAAGGAGTGGTACATGATCGTCGTCTGAAGATATATCCCAAAGAGAAGCGACCACATCGTAAAAAACAAAGTGACGCTCCTGAGCCAGCGTTCGACACGACCGTCCGCGAACCACAACCCTATTAGTTTCATAAAAAACGCTGTAACAGCGAAGGATAAGTCGTCCACTCGTAAAATAGTCATACCGAGTTTAATCACTGGACGTTTCGACATGAAAGCTTTGAAGGAAGCTTTGTATCGAGCCTTACCCCGAGTCTCATCAGATACTTTGATGTGCTATTAATCACGGTGATTATTTATTCTTAATGCGGTCGGTGCATCGACAATGCCAAGGTAAAAGGGATTCGCCAAGAAATCGATTTCTTTCCGCGACGCACGTGGTTGATGAGTTATGCAAGACCCTAAGATGAGAGTAATTTCACCATGTGAAACGTAATAGCGATCAACAGCTGCAACTCTGTTTCGCAGTGGACTCCGCTAAATGGACGAGGATAGTTCTTGTTCGAACGAGAAATCACATGTGGCGAAGAAGTGATTGCTTCGGTGATCCGGTTGGAGTCTCGAGGGGATGATTCTCGTGCTACCACGTCCGACGGGGTATTTCGCTTATGTGCTGTGGTTAGTTATGGAATTCTATGGAGGTGCACCCTTTCTTTCGACAATGTGGAGTGCGATGCACCGAGGACCTGTAACACGTATGTGGTATTATTTAGTGTGAATTAAAATCTGCACATATGGAATTGTATTTGTGATCTTGTGGGAGGAAATTGAGAGGAATCTTGCATTTTAACAGATCGTATTTATTAGATAACAATGTTAAACAGCTTAGCATACATTTCATGTCTCAACTATGCACTGATATTATTTTGCGTCTCTTGTAGCAGTGTGAAGTATGATGCCGCAGTAGTTAGCACCTGGAAACAAAATAATTATAAAATTATTCTGAAATTGCTAGCTCAAGTTTCTAAATTTGTACGATCTACTGCTATCAGATAAAATATATACTTCACAGTGAATTTACGTGTTTAATGCATTAAATAGTTTATCATTTTTAATACATTATACTTGATGTACAGGATGTCTCACAACTAGTGTAGGTCCCTGAAGAGTAGCTGATGTGATTCTGAATAAGATCTCAGTTTGAAAAAATGAGGTTTGAAGCTTCGTTTTTGAATTATTACCTGACCCAACTAGTTGTGATACTATGACCTACACTAATTGTGAGGCATCCTATGCATTATGTAATGTACTGTATGTACCAACATATGTAATGTACTATATGTACCAACATATGTAATGTACTATATATACATATATACGTTCCTCACCTTAGTGCACGTTTCCAAAGACGCTATAAAGAATCCGCTGCCCGTAAGATAGCAAGGTATATTAGACCTCATGATGAGCATTATCAAATCTTTCTTCACCTCCCTCACACTTTTAGTCGGAGGTAATTGCAACCAGGGTCCTGAATACGCTGCTGTGGCCAATTTCGTGCTTTCACGAATGATGCAGTCACAACCGTACGAAAACATCACTAACTGACAAACAGTAGCCGCGAAGTGGCAAATAAACATAACTTTCCTCTGAGCCATTTCTGCCTATGGAAAAGCTAGATAAATTTGTTGCTATTAGGTCCACTACGTGAAAATATTAAACAAAAATTGTCTAATTGGTATGATGATTCACATACAAATATGTGTATGATTCACATATATCATTCACATGTAAGTATGTTACAATTGTGTATACTAACCACAAGTATTAGGTAGCCATCCAAACAAATCAACATACTGAAAGTCAACACTTGTATGAGTAGAACAATGCTGAATACTGCTTCAACTTCATCGCAATACTCCATGAGCGACTGATGCTGTCGAATGTAACTTTTAAAGACGTCAGAAGCATTATTCGCGAGGTACAAAAAGTTTTTCGATTCCTGATCGACATTGTTTTGATCCTGTGCAGTATATTTGTCGGATAATCTATATTGCAGTATTCGGAATTGTCCAGCGAGGTGAAGATTTATGATGCATAGCATATTGTCTATGCAAAGATATGCGAATCCAATAGTGCACAAGCTTAGAGTCTGTAAAAATACATCTTTCATGAAAGAAATCGTCTGGAAACGATAGTTTAAAACGAAACGTGGCATCAGATTTACTGTAATATTTGTCTGTGAATATGTTTCGAAGATTAATATTAAAACTTCGATTATTGTTATTGTTTCAATATTGACAGATAATTAAAGAAACGCAGAACTATTGAAGCATGTGTCTTAATTATGTTACATTGACAGAAATATAGTGCATGTCGCTAAACGAACGTAAACAGATGCACCTGTGCGATATATCCGATTTCAAAATATGGCGTCTTTTGCATGGGCAGATTAACCCACATTTTAAACGGCAGCAACCTTTCAGTCTCGTTCTTTCCCAGATTCCCTGAAATTGAGTAAACATGTTAAATAACTTTTTGCAGTATCGAAAGCAAGATAATTTTTGACTATACTTGTAAGTGTTGCAGCTTCAACACGACATACCAATAAGCGGAGTAAAAATGTAAGATATAATAGTCAATTCGGTAAAACACACAAAGGTGCAAGCGAAGAAACTGCATTTGCGTTTGCAATTGATCAATACCAATGTTTCGTAGTCGTCGTAATTAGCATGAAAAAAGTTTCGTACCATATGTAGGATTAGATGGAAAAATTTCTCCCTGCGCGGGAGCAGAATCAGTATTTTAAACATTGGCACGGTCGTCGATAATAGGTTCAACATGGCAAAAAGACAGTTCTATGGAAAAATTAGGCGAAATTGTTATTAAACATTTAAATCAATTCAAATTATAATATATTTGCAATATATCAACGAAAGGATAGTACAATTAATTGGTGAGTTAAGGAACTTTGGATACAGCGAATCACTAAGTTAATGAATGGATGAATTCATGGATTGATGAACTGAAGAATTTACTGATTGAGATATTTTTGAATTGATGAATAGATGAATAGCTGAGTTGAAGAGTTCAAGTAAAGCCTGAGTGAATCATTGACGGTTTGGTGGATTGGTGTACTGATGACTTACTGAACTGATCGTTGACGTATTGATAAATTGAACGTACAAAATTTACAACTGTTCAGACTTTATAGATCAGTTCCGCGACTCTCAAGCTCTTTACATTTAGAAATAAAACAAAATAATTTAAATGTTCTGAATGTGGAATATTTAATAATTCACAGATTCAGAGACATCGAAATACTATATTTTCGAGGTTGTATATTTCAGAATTTAAAATTTGTCCATTTAAAATCTTATGTAAGAGTTCTTGGGGAGCAGCTAACACATGAACACTTAACCCATGACCCACAAAATACAGCACGAGCAAATACCGATCGCACGATATTCTCACCTCGAAATCGTCCGTAGAGTGGTAGATAATCGTCGTCTGAATATACACCGCGAAAAAAATCATCCCCATCGTGTAACACAAAGTAACGTTCCTGAGCCAGCGCTCGCAACTACTGCTAGCGAACCACAGCCCTATTAATTTCAGAAAGAACGCCGTAATAGCGACGGAGAAGTCGTCGACTCTTAAAATAGTCATACCGAACTAATTACTGGACAACGTTTCGACATGAAAGCTTTGAAGAAAGCTTTGTATCTCCGAGTCCGATCAGATACTTTGATGTGTTATCATTCACGCTAGCTATCTATATTTAATACGACCTGTGAATACGGCGTAAGAGAAAAGGGGTTTGAAGAAAAGCGACTTCTCTTGCCGTGGCGCGCAAGGTCGATGAGTTATGCAAGACCCTAAGATATGCGGAAATGACCGCGTGAAACTTAATAACGATCAACAGCTGCAACATTGTTTTACAGTCCGCTAAATGATCAAGGTAATTCCTTTCTTGAAGGTGAAATGGACACGTGTGCATGGGGAAAGGGCTTCGAAGGGGTCTGTTGCTGAGGGGATGATTCTCGTGGTATCGCAACGTTTACTGAACGTATGGTGTCCGAGTTATGGGATAGTCTTTCCTTCAAGTAGTGAGCTACCGGTTGTATATCACCTGTAATATGTAATACGTTATTTAGTGAAAGGGACTGCTATGAAAAAGGGAAATGGAGAACAGCTGTGGTGAAGGGATGCCAGTTGGACGAGGGATTCATTTGCTACTGCATGCTCAACGTATTTCATTTATTTAACGTGCTCTATAGAATCCTATGCATTTTGTGTTCCTCTTAGAAGCGTGAAGTACGAGGCGGCTGTACTGAGGACCTGCAACAGATATTTGAAATTTAGTGAAATTGAAAGTTATGGAAATTTGGGGATCACATCATAGGATGATAGGGTTAAGTATTATGTACTTCACAGTGAGAGTGGGCATAAGTTTTTAGCGGCACAATTTTTCGTTCACACTGGTAGTTTGAAATCAACTCCTAAGGTTAGGTGGGATGGATCATCTCATAGGATGGGGTGATAAGGTTAGGTCCTAGAATGCATTTCATAGCGAGAGGAGTAGACAAGTTTTTAGCGACAAAATTTTTCGTTCACATATGTAGTTTCAAATCAATGATGAGTCATTACATTCTAGCGAGTATTTTTTGATCTAGACAAATGATATAGTTTAGCTCATTCAGTTGATCAGTTTTGATTTAGCTCGTCTGTGTCAGAACCTTAGCAGTAGAGTCTGCAGTTTTCTATTCAGGTATTGTCTTTTATTACTTGCTCACATTGAAACACTTCATACATCATTTCTCCACTTGAATTTTAGTGAACCAATAGAACAAAACCAGCTGAATCAGTATTTAGCTAAACCTACTAAACCAACCTAGTTAAGCCAGCAATGTCACAAAAGTGCCCTCCGCGTTTGTAAAAATTCTTCGGCACCCTAGACTCTAGGGCCTAGAGTGATGAAGTGCATAGTAAAATTTACCCTACTAGAAGTTTCCATGGACACCACGAAGAGTCCATTAGCCGTCAGACAACAGGGTTTGTCGGACCTCATGGTAACAAGTAACAAATCCTTTTTCAGCTTCTTTGCAAATTCACTCGTGGATAGATAGGTCCATGGCCCATCATACACCGCATAGCTAATCTTTAAGCTCTCTTCTATAATACTATCGCAACTGTACGTGAACATCAGCAGTTGACCTACTACGCTGATTAGGTGAAGAATGAACACACACTGTTTGTCATGCTGGTCTGTCTACAAAATATTTGGATAACACGATCTTGGATTTGGTGCAAATGTAATTTGGATTTGGTTAAAATTGTTGTGGATTGTCAAGTTTGCAAGTGGATTTGAGGTAATTTTATTTTTTTATAAAACTGTAGGTTGAACTTTATGTAATGGACCAAAAACAGTCAGTACGAATATGGCAAAATAACGAGAGTCTACTGCATCTAAGCTTCTGTCAAATATAAATATACACAAAGTACAAGAAAAAATGCTGGAATATTCAATAGTTAAACTTAAATATAGAAAAATATTTTAAGTGAAATTAATTTTGATCGCAGGTTTTGAAAATTAACCAACAGAAAGGATATAGACGTACAAAGACAAATTTAATAGAACAATTTTGATTACAAAAATAAATATATAGATAGACATATAATAATTAGATATCAGGATAATTAATAAATAAGTGTGACTAATAATTATACTAACATAACAGTTGAATAATGATTGTTATATGATCTTACTCTATACGGCTTCTTAGTAATGTGAAATATGATGCAGCAGTACTCAGAATCTGTAACAAAATATTTGCCATTTGTCAATTCTGTCAAATGAGTAATGTTAATCAAACTATTCCTTAGCACATTAGAAACGACATAGACATTCAATAAAACAGTGCACGAGTGAGATACACAAATGAATACAAACGAGTAACAATGCCAAAATGAGTAATATTAATCAAACTGTTCACCTTAGTACAACACATTAGAAAATACATAAACATTCAATAAAACAGTGTACATCATTTTTGTCAAAGCGACAAGTTTCCCCAACAAAAAAAGTTGCAAATGTTACCGTGCTGTAAGTTTCAACTGAAACTGGAAAGAATCCATATGCAGTCATGCAACAAATTCGTCTAGATCTTAGCATAACCATTATCAAATCCTTTCGAAGCTTCCGTCCGTGTTCATTCATCGGCATTTGTGTCCACATTGTCGAATATATTGCTTCACCGATTTTGTCACTTTCCACCATTAAGCCGTTGCAGCTATAAGTGTACATGAAGAGTATACCCATGCTGCCCACAAGTAGGGAAATGTAAATTGAACGTCTTCCTATGGAGGACTGCGCCTGTGTGCAAGAAATAAAATTATGCAACAAATATTATTATTCCAAATACTTTTGCTTTTGATTTAAACAGCTGATATTTTGATAATACTCTTGTAGTTTAAATTTCGTGCAGTGAATTCTCGATATATTGCCGAGATTTTGCAAAAATTCTTGAATGTCGTTGGTCGATTGTCAGCATGACGTTGATGGAAGAATTTTTCTACATAGCGCAACGATAGCTTTACGTTCTTGTTAGTGTGCGTGGAAATCTCTGTGAGGCAATATAACGAGAGCCTACTGTAACTAGTTGACAAGCTGACAGTAGTGTAACAAGTTTGTCTATATGATATAAATTTCAAATAATAATGCAACAGTTGTACGTTCTCCTTATTGAAAAACCTTGTCAAGGCAATATAACGAGAGCCTACTGTAACAAGTAGACAACTGACAGTACTGCAGTTATTAGCCTACTAACAGCTGATAGTAGTGTAACAAGTTTGTCTATATGATATAACTTTCAAATAATAATGCAACAGTTGTACGTTCTCCTTATTGAAAAACCTTGTCAAGGCAATATAACGAGAGCCTACTGTAACAAGTAGACAACTGACAGTACTGCAGTTATTAGCCTACTAACAGCTGACAGTAGTGTAATAAGTTTGTCTACATGATATAATTTTCAAATAATAATGCAACAGTTGTACGTTCTCCTTATTGAAAAACCTTGTCAAGGCAATATAACGAGAGCCTACTGTAACAAGTAGACAGCTGACAGTACTGCAGTTATTAGCCTACTAACAGCTGATAGTAGTGTAACAAGTTTGTCTACATGATATAATTTTCAAATAATAATGCAACAGTTGTACGTTCTCCTTATTGAAAAACCTTGTCAAGGCAATATAACGAGAGCCTACTGTAACAAGTAGACAACTGACAGTACTGCAGTCTATTACCTACTAACAGCTGATAGTAGTGTAACAAGTTTGTCTATATGATATAACTTTCAAATAATAATGCAACAGTTGTACGTTCTCCTTATTGAAAAACCTTGTCAAGGCAATATAACGAGAGCCTACTGTAACAAGTAGACAACTGACAGTACTGCAGTTATTAGCCTACTAATAGCTGATAGTAGTGTAACAAGTTTGTCTACATGATATAATTTTCATATAACAGTGCAACAGTTGTACGTTCTCATTATTGAAAATCCTTGTCGAGGTAATATAACGAGAGCCTACTGCAACAGACTGCCATCAGGCTTTGTCCTATCGAAACTTTCAAACACTGAACGCTGCTTCTACTTCTCTAAAGCTAGCATAAACCTGATTTATACCGACCAGTAATATTTGGTACCCAAACAGACAAATCAGCACGCTGAATACCATAACCTGCACAAGCGTAATTGACGTGAACACCTTCTCGAGCGCCTCGCAGTAATTAATGAGCGCCAGATGTTGTTGCACGCAATTCTTAAATTTATTGTAACTTTCCGTAACTTGATTACAGGGAATCAACTTTTCACTACTCTTCTCCGTCTCTGTGGTTGTTTCGCACAGTATCTCCATTCTGTAACGGAGTATGCGAAACTGGGTAGCCAAGTGCATGCTCAGTATGGAGAACATATTGTCGAAGCAGAAATAACACACTCCGATGTGAAATATAGTTAACATCTGAGAAGAATGTCCGAGTTAAGCTGATTTTTTATATCATTGTAATTTATCAAAATGTTTGGTGTTGAATTAAAGTCATGAGAAATGTACCTCAACGACGAAGAAAATTTCATAGTATGGTGTTATAAGCAGTACTGTCATGTACAAGTTAAACGGATGTATTCTGTCCGTCTCATTCTTCCCCATACTCGCTGAAACATAAATTAATCGAAAACCTTCAAAACTAACCGTCAGAATAATTGTCAATTTTTATTTTCAGAAATGGCGAGGATCAACGCGAGACATTGCAATGATCTATTTCCGAGTTTACGTCATTTGCTCAAATATAAAAATACGGATATCTAAGGACTCAATTCAAACAGCAAAAACAATATGGAGTTTTTAGATTTTGTAATTGTTTATCTGTTCAGTGCCTGCTACTACTATATTTGCAAAATGCTATAATAGTAATGATGGGCAATGAGCGGATAGGCAATTAAATTGCTATAATGATAATATAGTCACTCACCAACGATCGGTGTTACGGTAAAAGCAGCAACGACGCACTCCCCGACGCAAATCACCGAAATCGTGTAAAGCATGCAAGCTCTTCGGCAACCAGCAAGAAACGCTTTCTCCTGCTCATCGTATTTACGGTTCCAGAAGTGTTCGCGCATGTACAGAATCAAATCAGTGAACTCCGATTTGTGGAGCAGTAGCACGTATATTTTGAACATAGTGAGAAAAACGGTTAGAAGATTGCAGCACGCGTAGAGGACGCCCTGGAACGATCGATTTTGGATATTCGAATACCATATCGTAGTTTGCTACGAACACTCAATTATGGAGTAACACCTTGCCATACGAGCACTAATTCGAATTTTTAATACATTTGAAGTTCAATTATAATTTGCACAGAATATAAGATTGATATCAATATCTGTTTCAAAATTACAAATGTGATTTGACCTAACAAGGCAAGGGGTTAACCATGTTCCTTCGTCAAGAACATACTAAGTTTCAACATACGCAAGTTTGAACTCACATTAAGATCACCCCAGGAGAAGTACAAATCTCTGACCTGAACGAATACACATATGCTACAGACAAGAGCCGTGTACCCCAATCCCAGTTTACTTCGACATCCCTCCGCATAATCTTTGGCGTCCCACAAGCCAACAAGTTTCACAAGGAAGATGGACAAAGTGAATGATATATCCGTGTACTTCTCTCCTTGCATGGCGAATATCGAGTGTCAGATGTTAAAGTCATCTACCTTTTTGTACGAATAACGCGACCCCAGTTTCGTGCATGTCTCGCCCCCACTCGCAGCTGTTCCTTGAGCGACACTCGCAAAGTACAGGAACGCATAATAAATGCATGCTGAAGTTTTGACAAGTGATCAATACGCTTGTAGCTATATCACCTTGCCAATCACTCGCTGTGACCAGATGTGGATCGCACATTGCTGAAAGTGGAGGATGACGGATACGAACGGAGTCAGCCATCTTGGACTACGTCGCTGGATATCTTGTGTGTTACTGAAGACGTTGGAATTCGGAAAATTTGTGATAAGGAATTTTGAAGCTTGCAATATATTGAAAGGTAAAACTTTTGTTAAGTTTGGAAGATGGAAATTAATTTTGGGTTTACAAGGTACAGTAAAGACTGGATAACTGCAACGTTACTGTCCCTATAATTTAGGGGGTTCCCCTTAAATCTTGACACTTGACGAGCGAGCAGCGTATGCAATGTAATCCTAACCGGCGTATCGGTGAGACAATATTAATATAACTTTTTTATTTCTTGGTTTTGCTAAATATTACTTTTATCAATGTAATTTTGAAATTCTCCTGATCAAAATAAGACCAAACACGATATAATTTGAACAACATTTGTTTATATAGTAATATTGTTTGTTTTTTGGAGTGTATTCAGGTGCGATTTTGTATGGAACCGAAAGACCATTACTCGTTGCGCTTTTCTAAAAATTTAATTTTAATTAAACACCTCGAGATACCTCGACTCGATAACTGCAACCCTTGGGTCCCGATTTTGTTGCAGTTATTCAGTCTTACTGTATAAAGATATTCGGAAATTTGGATTTTAGTGTCTTGTTAATTTAGAAAGAGACGAAAGTTTTCAGGATCTGTTTTTCATATGATGGTCGCTTTGGCGCACTATCGTTAATGTGTTAGATATTAATAATTAACATCGGTTTGGTGCCATCAATTGAGGCCAATTTATTCAGAAACTAGGAGATTCAGTGTATTACTTAATTTAAAGTGTAGAAATTTAGAAGTATAAATGTACAAAAGTATAATTTGAAATTCGGGAACTTGAAGATTAAGTTTGTGTACTAGGTATTTTCGACGATTGAAAATTTCGAAAGATAATATTTTCATTTTCAGATATTGAAATTTAAGCAGTTGCAGGTTCTAAATTTGATGCCTCGGTAATTTTGATAATTTAAATTCTGAAGACTTACAAAATTAATAACTTGTTACATTCAATTTCATCCCACGCTGTTCCTCAGTAATGTAAAGTACGATGCAGCAGTACTAAAAATCTGCAACAAGATATATAATTCAAGAACTCATGACTGCATCAAACTCCTTGTATATTGCATTACGATCATATAAAATAAGGTCCAGGAACATAGAATACGTTAATGAGAACATATAATGTCGACAGTGTTGATCCTATTTCCATGCGTCATATCCCTTACGCCCCGTATTTCTACGCGTTGAATCTCCACGCGGTGCAATTCCATGCGTTATATTCCCTACGCCTCTATTTCCACGCGCCGTAATTCCACGCGTTATATTTTCTATTTCCCCATTTCCACGCGTTGTAATTTTACGCTTTATATTCCCTACGCCCCTATTTCCATGCGTCATATCCCTTACGCCCCGTATTTCTACGCGTTGAATCTCCACGCGGTGCAATTCCATGCGTTATATTCCCTACGCCTCTATTTCCACGCGCCGTAATTCCACGCGTTATATTTTCTATTTCCCCATTTCCACGCGTTGTAATTTTACGCTTTACATTCTCTACGCTCCGTATTTCCACGCGTCATATCACTTACGCCCCGTATTTCCACGCGTCATATCACTTACGCCCCGTATTTCCACGCGTTGAATCTCCACGCGGCGTAATTCCACGCGTCATATTCCTTACGCCCCTATTTCCATGCGCCCCTATTTCCACGCGTCGTAATTCCACGCGTTATGTTCTCAACTTCCCCATTTCCACGCGTTGTAATTTTACGCTTTATATTCCCTACGCCCCTATTTCCATGCGTCATATCCCTTACGCCCCGTATTTCCACGCGTTGAACCTCCACGCGGCGTAAATCCACGCTACATATCCCCTACACCCCGTATTTCCACGCGTCGAATCCCCACGCATCGAATCCTCACGCGTCGAATCCCCACGCGTCGAATCCCCACGCGGCGTAATTCTACGCGTTATATTCCCTACGCCCCTATTTCCACGCATCATATCCCTTACGCCCCGTATTTCCACGCGTTGAACCTCCACGCGGCGTAAATCCACGCTACATATCCCCTACACCCCGTATTTCCACGCGTCGAATCCCCACGCATCGAATCCTCACGCGTCGAATCCCCACGCGTCGAATCCCCACGCGGCGTAATTCCACGCGTTATATTCCCTACGCCCCTATTTCCACGTGTCATATCCCTTACGTCCCGTATTTCCGCGCGTCGAATCCCCACGCGGAGTAATTTCACGCGTTATATTCCCTCTAGGCGCGAATCTGTCGCTCTCGCATCTGCGCATGCGTAATCCTCGCGCTCTGATTGGTCCGTGTTATTCCTTAATAATTCAAAAACCAAGCTTCAAACCCCATTTTTGCAAAGGGAAATCTTATTCAGAATCACGTCAGCTACCCACCATACCAGAGACCCACACTAGTTGTGAAACATCCTGTATAATCCACAGTGCAGCAATTCGCACAACATACCTCTAGTACACAGTAACAAATTGAAAATATTGAAAATGTTTACCGTAGTGAAGGTTTCTAGGGAGACAGGAAAGAACCCATTCGCAGTAATGCAACAAGTACGTCTAGCTCTTAATATCACCATCATCAGATCATTCCGAAGCATCTTTCCGTATTTATTCATCGGAATCCGCGTCCACATTGTCGAATACATTGCATCGGCGAGCAAGTCACTTTGCTCCATTAAACCATGGCAGCTATAAGTGAACATGAACAGTAAAGATGTGCTGCCCACGGTTAGGCATATGAAGACTGAACGTCGTGCAGGGGTAGAATCCGCCTGTGTACATTTCTCCAAAGTCAGTTTTGTCATTGCAAACCTGATTCGATTATGTTGGAAGTTAAACTTAATACAGACCAGTAATATTTGATACCCAAACAAACAAATGAGCACGCTGAAGACCATCACTTGTCCAAATGTAATCAGCGTAAACACTCTCTCAAGCAACTTGGAGTAATTAATAAGTGCTTGATGCTGTTGTACGTAAACCTTAAATTTCTGGTAAACTTCGAAAGCATAATTTGTCGGAGAGATTTTCTCGTTTGCCGGGTCCGACTCCTCATATATTTGGCACATTATCTCGAATCTATATTGAAGTATACGAAACTGTGTAGCTATGTGCAGGCTGAAGATAGAGAACATGTTGTCGAAGCAGAAGTAGCACACTCCGACGTGAAATAAAATGAACACCTAAGAAAACCATGTTCATATAACAACAACGGTAATGTGATATTGCGTGAAGTTTGAGTGTCAATTCGATATAAGTGAATTGCTAGTTCTGCAATTGCTGAAAATTTCACTGAGGTTTCTGCGCGATTACTTTCTAATGGCTCATCTTTACAACGAAAAGATTCTCGTTATATTTATAATAAATAAAGACCGTGACGGACATACCTGAACAACAAAAAAAAACTCAAAGTATGGCGTCTCTAATACCGTAGTATACCACATGTTAAATGGATGCAGCCTGACGGTTGAATTCGATCCCAGACTTGCTGAAACGTACAGAAATTGAATATTCTTTACAAAATTTGTATATTTAAAGCTTTGAAATTTTTAAGCTATCCGTTTGTCCGTCACTGTTAGTGTCACAGTAACTTACCAACGATCGGTGTCACGATATAAGCGACAACGGCGCATTCTCCGATACAAGTGACGGAAATGGTGAAAAAGACGCAAGTTTTCCTGCAATTTGCAAGAATCGCTTTCTCACGCTCGTCGTATTTACAATGCCAAAAGTGATCTTGCATGTACACAATCAACTCAGCTAACTCCGTTCTGTATAGGACTAGAACGTGCACTTTGAATGCGGTAAGAGAAACGCTCAAAAGGTTGCACAACACGTAGAGAGTTGCCTGAAATCAATATAAATCCACGTATTTGCATTGAAATTTTCAGTACATTGTTTTATTATCATTTGCAACATTATAGACGTTTTCACTATCGGCACTACAGTTTAAAATATTCAGGTGGCCAAAAAATTGTCGCTTTTTAGGAAGACATTCCATTATGAATCTTATACGTGCAATTATTTTACTGAACGACATATTGATCTCGATACATGAGTGGAGTTGTCAAGATATTCATTGAAACATAACTAACCATCTGCAACTGTGTTTGCTCTTCTAGAACGTGACTTACGCACAGAAACGCAAAATGCAAATCCCGACACGCGCATTTATTTCTCTCCCTCTGTACTATACATTTCATCAAGTTCAAGCAACCTTACATTTATGAAATTTTCCTATATTATCAAAATCAGTCATCTTAGTTTTATTCTACATGTTTAACCATTTATAACAATTGAGAAATTTCACTGCACCCGTCACAGTTCTTTGTGACACCCTAAAGTCCAAGTTTCAAGGAATTCGTTAAAGGCGAAGGAAGTTCACACATAAATTGAATAAGTGTCTGTCAACAGAAACGACTCTGTGGTCGATCAAAATTATTTGCGAGAAACTTACTCGCGGTATTTATTCGTTAATATACTCACGGCCTCATGATACGTAACCGCGAAGTGCACTCACATTTAGATCGCCCCAAGAGAAACACAAGTCTCTGATCTCGAAGAACAGCGCTAAGCAGACTGCGTAAATCGAGTACGCTATCCCTAGTTTCCTTCGACGTTCTTGCGCATAATCCTTGGCTGTCCACAACCCTACGTATTTCATACAGAAGGTAGACAGAGTAATTGACAAGTCCGTGTACTTGTCCCCTTGCATGACGAGCGTCAAGTGCCAGTTGTTAAAATCCTCCACTTCTTTGTGCCACCGATACCAAGGACGCGATACAATTTTCATTAAGTGACACCCGTAAAGTACGGGTACCTATAATTAATGCTTGCTACATTATTGAAATGTGATCAATGCAACTGTGTGGCTGCAGTTTGCCAGTTAGTTGCTGTGACCATATGTGAACGGTTGAAGTGTTGCTAAAAGTGGGAGAAGTCGGTTGGGGAGTCAGTCATCTTGGAACACGTGACGCTGGATATCTTTTGTTATACTAAAGGCGTTGACACATGAAAAATGTGCAGGTGAATTTGGTGATTCGGAATTAGGATCGTAGAAATTTAAGAATGTACACAAGGCGTTGTGTTCAGATATTCAGAAATTTGGGTATTTAATTATTAATTTAGAAAGATAAGGTGTTATGTTTTATTACTTACTCCTCCCCTGTTTTTAATATAAGAGTATGTTTAATGTCCCTATATGTAAAATAATTGAAAATTCTGAAGATTTGATAAATCTATCCTAGAATTATGGCAATAAAAGAATTCAGTAATTTGCTGATCTTTAAATTCAAAACCTTAAAACTTTCTTTAATAATTATATCAAATTTTCAAATTTTCCATGTTTCTAATAATCATAGACCACAACGTGAAAATTAACTCAGTGTTTATTAACATTTTCTACAGATCTTCGTAGTCACCTTCTAGTAACAGCACTGCGAATACATAAGAGCTACAGTGATAGATTGGGCAAACTATTTCAATTACTACTGATGTAAATTTGTAGTACATTCATTATCAATGACTCTACAACAGTCGAATATTTTAAGCCTGATTGCTATTGCTGTTCTACGCTATTTCTCAGTAACGTGAAATAGGAAGCCGCAGTGCTCAGAATCTGTAACAGGTGAACAAATTTAATATTCGCAATTACTTAACCCAATTTGCAATTAAAAACTGTATGTGAAAGTTACTTGTCAAGTTACCATAACCAAAATTTCATATATAACCAAAATTCATAACCAAGTACAAAATTTCAATTCCAAAATTTGTATTTCTCTATCCTTAACAAGTAATTTGACGACTATTTCAGTATTTGGGAATTTTTAAAAGGTGTCTTACAACTAGTGTAGGTCCTTAAAATGGGAGGTAGCTGACATGATTCTGAATAATATTTCCCTTTGCAAAAATGGAATTTGAAGCTTCGTTTCTGAATTATTAAGAAAAAACACGGACCAATCAGAGCGCGAGGATTACACGCGCTCAGCCAATAGGCTCGAAGATGTGCCCTACGCCGCTATTTCCATGCGTCATATCCTTTACGTCCCATATTTACACGCGTTAAATCTCCACACGGCGTAATTCCACGCGTTACATTCCTTACGCCCCTATTTCCACGCGTCATATCCCTTACGCCCCGTATTTCCACGCGTTGGCGCATTGAATCTCCACGCGGCGTAATTCCATGCGTCATATCCCTTATGCCCCGTATTTCTACGCGTTGAATCTCCACACGGCGTAATTCCACGCGTTATATTCCCTACGCCCCTATTTCCACGCATCATATCCCTTACGCCCCGTATTTCCACGCGTTGAACCTCCACGCGGCGTAATTCCACGCGTTATATTCCCTACGCCCCTATTTCCACGCGTCATATCCCTTACGTCCCGTATTTCCACGCGTTGAATCTCCCCGCGGAGTAATTTCATGCGTTATGTTCCCTCTAGGCTCCAAGCTGTCGCTCTCGCGTCTACGCATGCGTAATCCTCGCGCTCTGATTGGTCCGTGTTATTCCTTAATAATTCAAAAACGAAGCTTCAAACCCCATTTTTGCAAAGGGAAATCTTATTCAGAATCACGTCAGCTACCCACCATACCAGGGACTCACACTAGTTGTGAAACGCCCTGTATAATCCAGAGTGCAGCAATTCGCACAACACACCTCCAGTACACAGTAACAAATTGAAAATATTGAAAATGTTTACCGTGGTGAAGGTTTCTAGGGAGACAGGAAAGAATCCGTTCGCAGTAATGCAACAAGTACGTCTAGCTCTTAATATCACCATCATCAGATCATTCCGAAGCATCTTTCCGTATTTATTCATCGGAATCCGCGTCCACATTGTCGAATACATTGCATCGGCGAGCAAGTCACTTTGCTCCATTAAACCATGGCAGCTATAAGTGAACATGAACAGTAAAGATGTGCTGCCCACAGTTAGACATATGAAAATCGTACGCCGTTCAGGGGTAGAATCCGCCTGTGTTCAATGAAACAAAATTATATAATATACAATTCCTTTGAGTTCGAATCTTAATTCGAAATACTTTTGACTTAGTAAACAAACAGTCAATATTTCGGTACTACCCCAGAAATTTATAAATCTGATTTATTGTAATTATTACGTTTACGTTTCATTGTACAGTAAGTTCTCGATATATTGCCGCGGACAGAGATCTTGCAACGAAAAACTTTTGAAATTCATGTTGGTGGAAGAATGTATTTCCTGGATGGTGCAATGACAGCTTTACGTTTTCGTTAGTATGCGTGAAGATCCCTGTAAAGGCAATATAACGAGAGCCTACTGTAAGAAGTAGACAGCTGACTGTACTGCAGCTTTCAAGTTTTTCTATATAGCATAATTTTTTGTATCATAAATTTTCAAATACGAAAAAAAGTTACATGTATTTCTCGACAGTCAGTTTTGTTGTACAAATCGAACATGATTCAAGATGAATGTAATACAGACCATTACTATTTGGTATCCAAACAGACAAATCAGCACGCTGAAGAACATTACTTGTCCAAATGTAATTAACGTGAACACTCTCTCAAGCAACGTGCTGTAATCAATAAGTGCTTGATGCTGTTGTACGTAAACCTTAAATTTCTGGTAAACATCGACAGCATAATTTGTAGGAGAGAATTTCAAGTATGCGTGAACAGTCTCTTCGCTTATTTCGCACATTGTCTCGAATCTGTATTGGAGTATGCGAAACTGCGTAGCTAGGTGCAGGCAGAAGATAGAGAACATGTTGTCGAAGCAAAAATAGCACGACCCAATGTGAAATAAAATTAATATCTAAAAAAATCATGTCGGTTTAATGAACAATGCGTGTTTACTATAATTTCTATTCGATAATGCGTAAAGTTAGAGGATCGATTTGATATAAGTGAACTGTTAGCTCAATGGTTCAAATTTTACATAATTATATACACAACGTTTTTTCATATTGTTTAAATATCAAATTGGAATAATTAGAAGTAAAAATGTTTGCAAGAGGAATAGTAATGTTTACTAATTTTATGGTTGATGAATGAAGATAGTAAAATTTGGTACCTGACCAAAAAACGCAATCTCGAAGTAAGGTGTTATTAACACTGCATCTAACCACATGTTAAATGGATGCAGTCTGACCGTTCCATTCCCTCCCAGATTTACTGAAACGTAAATTAAGTGAAAGAGGTAGCTGAATTGAAAAAATGTTTCACACATTCAAATTAGTTGGTTTCAAAATTTGGAACGAAACATTTTCTGTTTGGTGGTTACAGATTTTGAAAAATGCATGAAATCGGGAATTTGGGAATTTGGGGATTTTGGGAACTTTGGGATTTTGGGATCTTGGAACTTTGGGATTTTGAGATTATGCAATCTTGGAATCTTGGAATTTTGGAATCTTGGAATCTTGGAATTTTGGAATTTTGGAATCTTGGAATTTTGG